GCTCCTGAGAGCTAAATGTACACACTTCTTCTAATCTCTGCATTTTGTTTGCTTGAAATTAGCACTGGTGGGAGCCTTTAGAGTATTTACATCAAGGAAATTAGTGTACCACTGGCTTCAAATAACAGAAAACATGACTAGTACAGATTTGAACTCTTAGGACCATTTATTGGTTCAGAAGTCGTAGGTAGTACAGGAATGGGCCAGCAATTAGGTAATATCCTCAAGCATCAAGGCTCTTTTTATTCTCACCTCAGTAAACATGTTTTTACATTTCAGTGTTCAGAACTGGTCACATAGCCAACCCTAGCTACAAGGGAGCCTTGATGAGCCAGAAGCTGGCAATGGGAAACAGGACAGCATGATCAGATTATTTGCCTTCTGGACTTCTCCCTATTACTGCTACAAGTAAATTGGGGGTTATCAGCAAGGGTCAGGTAGAGAACGGAAAATCAATTAACAGTGTCTTCAAATTGTCTGTGTGTGTGTGTGGTGTGTGTGTGAGTGAGCAAAAATAAGTGTGCATTCTTTTAAAACATCTTTATGTATCAAAAATATGTTATACTTCTGTAAGGAAATATAACACACTCCTCATGTTTTTATATCTAGGGAAAGTAGGACTTTGGGGAGACTTACTTTTCTGCAATTGCCTCAATTTCTGAAGTGACAATTATTATTATTGGGGCAAATGATAAAGATATTTGCATTTTTGAAAAAAAATTAGAATAGATGTGAAACCACTTAGCATAGTGCATGGCATATATTTATATGTTTGATAAATAATGTTATTTGGATTTGAATCTTTTAACCTGTGTATCTTTAAATATTTAATATAAGTCAATACCTACCTCTTATATTATTCCCTAATAGTTTGTGTTTTCCATTGCTGATGTGATTGAGAAGGAAGATTTAATATGAGATAGGAGAAGGCAAGGCTGAAAAGGCAGGGAGGGACAAGACTAGGAGCCCCTGATTGACAGGAAACTTTTAGGCTTTATCCAGTATGGACTGAGAAACCATTAAAATAATTGATCAATAGGGTAACATAATCAGAGTTACAGTATATATACATATATATATAATAAGTATATATAACATATATATATATATAACTCTCATTTTCCTCCAATGAAATGTTCAGAGCAACCCTTCCCACCTCTTCCTTTCCTCTATAAAAGGACCCCTTCCTTTGTTTTCTGGACTTGCCTATGGTTCACTGTCCTGAGTTGCAATTCCTCTGCTCTTCCTGAATAAACTTATTTGCTGCTTAACAACCTTTGTTATTTATTTTTTAAGGCTGACCGTACTTTCCAAGGATCATTCCCATTGTAGCACACAGAATGGAGGTTCAAGGAGCAAAGGACAGGAGTCCCTGAGAGCAACAATTATGGCAAAGCCTTGAAGTTCTAAGGATTGATACCAAAGCAGCATAATAATCAAGCACCTGATGTTTGAACCTTCTGAGGGAGGTTTCTGAAGGGTCAAAGGACATGGCTCATCTTGTGCTTTACAAACCCTGAGGCTCACATGCACAAAATCAGCTCATAACACTTCCTTAGTGTCAAAACGGTACATGTGTGTCCTTAGGCCTGTGTCTGATGTTTTCTATTTTTTTGATTCTCTTCTATTTGCCAGTTTAAAAATGCCATAGGTATTAGTTGTCAACTTATAAAAATGTTGAGAATTTGTACAGAATGGGGAGGTGAGCGACTTGCCTTAGGTCACAGTGTGTGTCCTGATTACAGGTGCCTGGATATGAAGCAATGAAGAATTAAAAAAACTTATTTTAGTAGTAGCCATAGGAAGAAGTCAGGAGACTTAGAGAAAAATAAGTAGGACTTCGCGATTCTTAGATGTAGAAATTGAGAGCTTCAGAGAGAGGGAAGAGTCTCTGAGTGTTTTCAGTGGGATGTCTAGGGATTGGTAACTTTATATATAGATTCAGGAGTTATTTGGGGGGCTCCAGTGAGAAGCTGAGAAAGAGAATTGTTTTAGATATATATTGAAATCAGTGTTGCCAGACATTAAAGTAGCAGTGTTCAGATGGGACTTAACAAAATTCAAAACCACAGCTCAGTTTATGATATTATAATGTCAGATGGACATAAAGAATTGAAAATCATTGACCTAGAATTCACACTTGCAGGAAGGATGACATCACTGAGGAAGCTTATATAGTGGAACATGAAGGTTGAGGAAACTGAGAAAACGTCATGCTGAGAGGCAAGAAGGGGACAATGGTTCCCTGAACAGCAGCAAAAATGTCAGAAAGTTGGAGAAACCAATGGTCTCATCTACATTGGAGAGAAATATAAGGAGGATCAAAGTGTCAATGAATCCAAGGGGTCTGGGGTTTGGCAGTGAGGTCATTATTGACTTTGGAACTGTTCTGCTGTAATGGTGGGGATAAATCGAATAATATCTTGAAAGAATGTAGTGAGTTTTGTGACTTGAGGCTGAAAAGGGAAGCAGGTTGAGAACGTCTTTTACGCATAGCTTTCCGTAAGCAGCAGTAGCTCTTAGGCAGACAAGAGACAAGAGAAAACTGACCTTGTAAACTTACTAGACAAACAGAAAACCTCCAAGTATTTTAAAACAGTCTGATTTACTTTGTAATTACCTAACTTTTCTGCTCAACACCCCTCATTAACTTCGTTGCTCTGCTAAGTACAATAGTTCCTTTTATCCTCATAGGGGATATGTTTTAAGCCCCCCAGGTTTGTCTAAAACCGCGGGTAGTACCAAACTCTATACAGTTGACCCTTGAACAATGCACAGGTTGGGGCACTGACTTCTGAAAGTCTGCGTATAACTTTTCAGTCTCCAAAACTTAACTGCTAATAGCCTACTGCTGACTAAAAGCCTTACACATAACAAATAGTTGAATAAAACATATTTTTTATTTGTATTTTATACTGTGTTCTTATGATAAAGCAAATTGGAGAAAGAAAATGTTTTTTTCAATTGTCACAAATTTCCAAAAAATTTTCCCAAATATTTATTGAAAAAAATCTGTGAATAAATGGACTTGCGAAGTTAAAACCTGTGTTGTGCAAGGGTTAACTGTATATACAATGTTTTTTTTCTATACGTACATACCTATGATAAAGTTCAACATATATTAGGCTCAGTAAGAGATTAACAACCCTAACTAATAATAAAATAGAAAAATTGTAACCACATACTGTAATAAAAGTTATGTCGATGTGGTCCCTCTCAAACTATCTTATTGTATTGTACTCCTCCTTTTTCTTGAGATGAAGAGAGATAATAAAATGCCTACATGTTGAGATGAACTGAAGTGTATGTATTGGGCTACTGCTATTGACCTAATACTACATCAGAATACATCAGAAGGAGGTTCATTGGTTTCCAGTCTGTGGTTGATGGTGGTAACTGAAACCACAGGAAGTAAAACCTTGGATGAGGGGAATGGCCGTGATCTGCCAACTTCTTCAGCCTATCACCTTCTCCTGCTTCCCCACCCCTAAAACTGCACACAGAGCTTCTTCTAGTTTTCCAAATGTCCCATGCTGCTCTTGTGCTCGTGTTTGCAGCTTCTATGTCTTCCAATTCCTTCTCAGCTTGGTAAAATTATCACCTTCCCAGAGTAAGCTCGAAGTTCTTTATAAAGCCTTTCAGGGTTGATATGAACATTTCCCTTTCCTGATTCCCACTGTACTTATATTATAAATCCTGTATTTCTATCACTTAACTCCAGGCTGGGTATACAGTCTGTATTCAATAAATGCTGAATGAACAAATAAATGGAGATTTCATGTCTTCTTGTGGCACCCATTTCATTAAAAACAGTGTACAGTATAGTACATTTGGCATTTATTCTTGTCATGCAATATTAAGTTTTATTTTAAAAACATGAATAGGACATTTTATAAATACTATTTAAAACTTGCAAAGTAAAAAAAGTCCTAACCTCATCAGTCTATTGTAATTCTCTATTTCATTTCTAAACGTTAGAGTGGGCTATTTTTTTCTTTCCATTAACTCTTTTGAGGCAATTATCCTCCTTCTGGCTAAATTATTAGGGACCTGGATGGGCCTCCTTGTTTAATCGAAGTGATTAAACTCAAACCAATTAAAGTTTCAGTGCTACAGGAATCAAGGAGATTTTAATATCAATTTATGTTTGCTTTTATGACCCTTGGCTCTCTCGAGGGAGACGGGAAAGGCTGCCCCTACATCTGGTTTCAGGTTGATTACAATCAACATGGGACGATTTTAGCATAAAGGCTCATTTTATATTAAACACCTTTTTCGGGGGAAAAGGTGGTGGTGGTGAAGATAAAATTCTTAATCAAAATCTTGCCAATTTACATCACTCCTTGGGGAAGAAACGGGGTTTTGATTTTACATTCTCCCTGAGGCCGCTGCAGATTGTGAAGTAGGTACTGGGAGAAACCGAAGTATAAAACGAGATCGTGTGTGTGTGTGTGTGTGTGTGCTCGAGATCGTGTGTGTGTGTGTGTGTGTGTGTAAAACGAGATCGTGTGTGTGTGTGTGTGTGTGTGTGTGTGTGTGTGTGTGTGCTTGCGCTCGCGCTCGCGCGCACGCGCGCTGGCGAAAGGCGGAGAAGACGCTAGGTAAGAGATGGAATCCATGCTAAGGCTCCAAGAACATGTTTGCGAGGTGCCTCGTTACACAATATTTATAATGAAAGGTGCTGCAACAGCATCTGCGCAGTGACCCGCTCCTAACCTGGGGTACAGCGGGAATGGGAGGCCGTGCAGGCGGAGTGCGTTAACAGAACACCAGCCACTTGTGCAGAAGCCGAGCCCACTGAATTCCCCCTGGCTCCGGAACCAGGCAACGGACCCTGAGGGGCTACACTGGCCCTCAGAATCAACAGTTTAATAATAAAGCATCTGGGATCCGACCTCTTTCTTATTTTTATTCAGGAGGTGGGGGAAAAGGGCATAGAGTTTAGAAAGCTGCATTTTTTTTGTCGGTTCTCTGAGGATTATGAGAATGTGACCTGAACAGTTCACGCTAAAAACACCATACAGGGAAGTGTACCTGGGCGTTCTCATGCGGGCAGGGGACGCGCCTGGCGCGGGATCGCGCGGGCGCGAACGCACCGCCCCCCAGCAACCCCGCATGCGCTGACTCGTCTCCCAGCGAAGCCGCGCAGCTTCGCGGGGCCTGGCTCTTCCAATCGGAGCCCGGCGTCCTCCGAGTGCTTATCCTGGGAGCTGCGGGCTGCGGGCTGCGGCGGCCGGGAGGAAAGGGGCGGGCTGGGGCGGAGCCGGGAGGCTAGTGAAAGTCTGAAGGTCTGCGGAAGATGTCGAGCCTCCGGAAGTGGCCGTTTTAAATATCGTCTCCCTGGGGTCCGTGCCCTTGTGTCCTCCTTTGCTATTTGTTCCCCCTTCCTGGGTCCTAGAGTACGTCGGGTTTCAACAGTTTTTGCTCTGACTCCTGCGATCGGCCTGGGTCTCTTTCTACCACTGAGATTTGAAGCTGCTCCAGGGGTCTAGGGTGTGCGGTCTGGACCACGGGAGCCCCCTGAGGTAATCACAGGGTGTGGGAGCTTTGAAGCGAACGACCTGGGCGGGGAAGTACTGAGAGGAATGGTAGGGGGGCTGCAGTAATGTTATGGGGGACCCCCGAGTTAGTTTGGGGCTGTCCTGGGACTTCGTGTTGCTTGTGGGGACACACCTCCAGCTCTCCGGGCTGGGCCTCTTCGCCCACCTGGAGGAAGATCTCCCTGGAGCATCTTAGCGCGGTACCGCCGCAGTAGTACCCAGAGGACTCGGTAGGGACCGCAACTCCGGACTGCTGGGCTCTTTCTCTCCCGAGAATCAGTAAGCCCTTTGAGAGCAAAGACCAAATCTTTTTCATACTTAAGCCAGCCACACACTACTCTAAATGTTTGATGAACCAAAGTACATAAAGCTATTTTATGTAGTTTCTATTGCTTATCCTCCAGAACTCTAAGAAACAGAAAATTTGGCTGTAAGTTTTTCCGAGGTGGAAAGTTTTTTGCAGAAGTGGAGCCTCCTTTTGACTGTTCTTTATTCTGTTGTGATGTTTATCCTAGGCAAATACATAGTTTTTCATTTTAAGCAGATCTCAAATGATATTGCATGTTTACTTGAGAAGAAATTTAAGCTGGTTTTCAACTATTCTGAATACATTATGCATTGATGTTTTATAGTTCTCATAATTTTGGAGAAAAGAACCTACCATTTGTCACTTGTTTAATAAAACAGTTAGTGCCTAGTAACAAGAATACAGTGGTAGAGCACGTAACGAACATGGTTTTCCATGAAATGGAGAGGAAAGAAAGGTAATGCCACCTGCGTAGAGGAAAGATGAAGGGACTAGTTTTAGTCTGGAGCTTTCTGTATTAGGTTTGGCACAGACTTAGTAGCTGTGCAACCTCAGGCAAATCACCAAAACTCCTTAGGCATTAGATTCCTTGTCTGTCAGATAAAGTGGATGGACATGGTCTCTGAAGTCCCATTTAATTCTAAAACTCTTCGATTATCTCAGTCCCTTTGTCTTGGTCTCCTTATAATGAAAGAACCAACCACGTCCTTTAAAGGTAAAATTATATGTATATATAAAGTCTGCAGATAGTAATCCCAACACAGATGTGGTTGTTGTTGAAGAAAGCATTGTGTTATGAAACAGGATGGATTTAGGGGTCAGTGAAATGTGGATTTGAATTCAAACCCTCCCACTGAATATCTTTGTAAAACTTATTCAACCACTCCAAGCCTCAGTCCTCAGTGTTATCTGCTGTGAAAGATACATAATAATCTCATAGGGTTATTGAGAGGATTTGCTCAGATCAGGTATAATTAGTGAAGTATCAGGCATGTAGTAAGTGCTCAATGATAGTAGTTTTTATCTTTTCATCCTCCCTGTTCCTTCCTTTTCCCTGGTATGTACAGAAGTGCAGAGATGAGTACATTCTGGATGACCCACTGGAGGACTCAGATGTGAGGTAGGAGAACTTGTACCAGCAGTGGCTCTGCAGTCTAAAGTAGTATTGTCTTTCTGGCTTGTACTTACTCTCAGTATGTCTAGATCAAACATCTCCTGTCCTCAATTGCCCTATTACCTATTTCCAAAACACTTCTTATTGAAGAGTGATATACATACATCCCCTCATCTCTTTTTTTTAAAATTAAGGTATCATTGATATATAATCTAACGAAGGTTTCACATGAGCAACACTGTGGTTTCAGCATTCACTGGTATTATCAAGTCCCCCCCCATTGCAATTAATATCAGCATAGTAAGATGCTACAGAGTCATTACTTGTCCTCTCAGTGTTGTACTGCCTTCCCTGTGACCTGCCTATATTATGTATGCTAATTATAGTGCCTTTTAATCCCCTTCACCCTCCCTCCCCACCCACCTGCCCCACCCCCTTCCCGTTGGTATCTGTCTTGGAGTCAGTCTGCTGCTATTTTGTCCCTTCAGTTTTACTTTGTTGTTATACTCCACAAATGAGTGAAATCATTTGGCACTTGTCTTTCTCCCCCTGGCTTATTTCACTGAGCATAATACCCTCTAGCTCCATCCATGTTGTTGGCAAATGGTAGGATTTGTTTTCTTCTTATGGCTGAATAATAGTCCATTGTGTATATCTACCACATCTTCTTTATCCATTCATCTACTGAACATCCCCTCATGTCTTTTAGTAGGAATGTTGAAAATAGTCCAGCTCCGCTAGCAAGAGAAGATTAATATATTAATACACGAACATAAAAAGCTAATTTAAATCACACCTTTCTCCACCACTGCCGCAGGATGGCCTGGTTTTGGCGCAAGCCTGTGGAAGTGCCATCTGGATTGAAAATCCACCAGTGGTCTGACTCATCTTTCATTTAGAAGACCCTGCCTTGTAGTTGGTTTGGATGGGGAGAAGAGTGATCTGTCTGCAGCAGGGAGCAGAAGTGATTCCCTGACTGAGCAGGTTTCAACACGCTCACTGGCTGGGGCTGAGTTAGGTCTTGAAGGCCAATTGCAAAGCGCACAGCTGAGCCCTGGAGTCAGGATTTGAATTTGAAATTTGGGTTTGAATCCAGACTCTCTCACTTACTAGAGATGTGACTTTGGAGCAGGGACTAAGTATCTCTAAGCCCCAGTTTTCTCAGGTATAAGGTAGGGATATCCACAGTATTTGCTCCTTACGGTTGGTGTAAAGTGAAATGAGATACTCTATAGATAAAGTTCTTAGCATGATGCTTGGAGAAAGCATGTTGTGTACAGTGGCAGGATGACAGAAGGGAGTGGCTTTGAGGTATCAGTTAATTTGTTCATAGATAATGAAATACTGAATATTTTCAAATGAAAAGCATTTTTCATAGTTACACAGATATTGAAGAAGAGAAAGGCTGATATTAATAGCATATCATAAAGAATTTTTAATTACTCATACAGATTAGCCAAAGTATTTATCTTGTGCAGTTTCACAGGGAAGTTTTAAGTGAAAATTGAAATATGCATGATGTGGGGACCCTGCAATTTTTTGACTTGGCTTCCTATTCCACTGACATGTTCATTACTGTATCTACCTGCTTTACTTCCCTTATCATTCCTTCCCTTCTTTATGCTCTGGTGGATGAAAAGACAGATTTTGGTACATCTTCTCTGCCATGTTCAATGGCATAAAAACCCTATCATAGTTTAAATTCAGTCACAGACCTAACTTTGGCTCTTATTGATTTAGTCTTCTTAAAGTACACAGATGTAGGCCCTTGAACCCTGGTGTCATCAGGAGCTGATATCAGAGAGAGAGAAGAAAATACAGTTTGCTTACTTCAGATAGGATTTTTTTAATGGTGAATTTAAAAAATTGAAATATAATTCACCTAACAAAATTCACTGTTTTAAAGTATGCAGTTCAATGATTTTTAAGTATATTCACTATGTTGTACAGCAATCACCGCTAACTAACTCCAGAATATTTCCATTACCCACATTGTACATGTTAGCAGTCAGACCAATTCCCCCTTTCCCTACCCTGTGGCAACCACAAATCATACTGTTTCTATGGATTTACCTATTCTGTACATTTTATATAGATGGAATGAATCATATAACAAGGCCTTTTGGGCTGGCTTCTTTTACTTAGCATATGTTTTCAAAGTTCACCCATGTTGTGGCATGTGTCGTTACTCCATTCTTTTTTGTGGCTGAATAATATTTCATATTTTATTTTTCCATTGGTCAGTTGATGAACATGTGTTTTTACTTTTCAGCTGTTGCAAAGAGTGCTGCTATAAACATTTGTGTATAAGTCATTATCTTAGAGTGTGTCTTATTGTTAGTTGTGCTGGATCAATATTCTTAGATACACAGTTCAAATTTCAAAGTGTAGATTAAACTCTTTTTGTATTTCAGGAAAATATTCCTGAATTACAGTTTTTAGTGTTTGTTTTGTTTTCTTATGCAGAGACTCCTATTATCAGCCTATTGGTTATTCTTTGCTCATAGTCAGTATTGTGTCACTTTCTTGTAAGTTCTTTTGACCTTTACTTCACTTTTTTATTTAAAAAATTTTCCTCTTTTTGATTTCCTGTATGTTTTTTAAGGTGTTTTTTTCTTGTCCTTTCTATTGACTCTTGTGTTCTCTCTAATTTAGTTTTCATTACTGAAAAGATTTTTTTTCTGATTCCTTCTGATCCTTTTCACCTTATTTCTGAGTTTTTCTGATTCTGACTCCAGTGCTTTCATGCCCCAACCCATTTTGTTAATGCCTTTTAGCTCATTTTGCAATAGTGAGAGTTTTAATCTGTTTCTGTCATGCTTGTATTTGTAGGATTCTATTCTGCTCCTTACTCCCTATTTTCTTTTATTAACTTTGTATGGTACTTGATCACACTACTTTTCTGTTGCTTATAGTTATGGAAGATTAGTTTATCTGAACTTTGAGCATAGGGCAAGGTTCAGGAAAGCTTTTCTAACTTAATAGAATTCTGTCTTGCATTGGTTTTGTTAGTGTTAAAAAAACTATGGTGGCTTGTTTCTGACATTTTCCAACGCTGTTGCTTCCTGCAGTTTGGTCTGGGCCATCTCTTTACTTTATTTCCCCTCTCCTCAATTTTGATTCTTTCTCCTGCAGTTTTAGTATGGGTGCCTGTTGAAGACGGGGATCTTGGCAGGTCAATTTTGAGAGTTCATGAAGTTGGACACTACCAACCCTTTCAAGATTTTCCTACTATGTGCCTATTTCATGTGCCATCCTATGGAATGGACAGACTTCTCTTAGTTTCCTCTGCTACTCTCAAAGTGGCCTTGGGAAAGCAGCAGTTTCTATTAGATATCTGTTGGCTCTTTGGGGCATCTTTCAGATGTGGCCTCGTTATTTCCCTCTGCTGCCTCCTCTGTAGACACCTCTACTGCTCCCATGCACGTTTTCTGGCTGTTGTTGGCTTGACCTTACTCATTTGTATTTTGTGTTCTTTTTGTTGCAAATGCTGCCCATAATTTTCTAGTTTGTCTGTCTTTCTAATCTCTCTAGTTGTCTTAGATAGGATTTGTACAAACTTCCTTATTTAAATTAATAAGGAGATGAAACTATAGAAAAACACAGAGGCTTTATACAAGACAGGCAGGGCTGGTGTGAGAACCCATCTTTACATTTAACCTGTCACTCAGCTCCTTTTTTTTCCTTTTTAATACTACAAGAACATTTTCAATTTTCATATCCATATTAGTTTTTAATTGTTGTGTAACAAATTACCACAAATTTAATGGCTTAAAATAGCACCCGTTTATTATTTCCATTTCCATAGGTCAGGAGTCTGGGCACAGGAGTTTCACTAGGCTGTAGTCAAGGCGCTCACTGGCTTGTGTTCTCGTCTGGAGGTTTGACTAGAAAGCATCTGCTTCTCAGCTCATTCATGTTGTTGGCAGAATGTATTTCCTATTGGCATCTGTGGGACTGAGGGATCCAGGTTTTACAGGCTATGGAATGGGGGCTGCCTGCAGTTCCTTGCCATGTGACCCTCTCCCTGGGCAGTTCATGGCATGGCAGTTTGCTTCTTCAAGGTCAGCAGAAGATTTGTCACTTCACTCTGCTGAGATGGAGTCTTATATAATCAAATGCAGTCATAGGAGTGACATCCCCTCACCTTTGCCATGTTCTTTTGGTTAGAAGCAAGCCACGGTTCTGCCCACAAAAAAAGTGAGGATATTGTACAAGAGAGAAACACAAGGAGGGGACTGTCTGCCTGCTACATTATCTGGATCAGCGATCTGGAAATTGCTCTTGAGCTATAGAAGACACTTTCTGAAAGATCATTCAGTTTGAAGATGTTAGACAGCAAAATAATGCAATGAAAATGATGATTCTCTTTAATTTACCTTTATTGAAACAACTTTATTATGATTTGGTAAACTATCTCTTCCCATAATTCTTTGCCCAAGATAAAAACAAAACAAAACAGAAAACAGTAGGCATTGTTAAGGTCCTAGCTATGTAAATGCTTTTCCTATGAGGTAAGTCGAGGCTCCGTTTGTGCCTGTTGTGAACATATGCACACACATGTGTGTATTTAATCTTTTTCATAAAAATAGAAACACTTGGAAGAGGTACTTTTGAGCCTTGTCCATTTCTGAAAGAGTTGCTTTTTCTAGGTTCTAACTCTTTTCCTTCTATTCTGAAGCATTTTTTATGGAATCTGATCACTGGGGGACATGATGACAGGGTGAAAAGATTTTGGCACTCGTTTGTACCTGACTGGCCTTAGGCAAGTAATTTAGCCTCTCTGAATCAGTTGAGTTTCCTTAATTGAAGTGAGGGTAATAAACCTCAGTTAAGATAACTTACTATTCAACTGTATGTGTCAATAGTGGCCTTACAGAGAGAGCTTGGGTTTTAGAGTCAGTTATGAGTGGGAATCTTGGTCCTGTAACTGTGTGACTTTTGGCAAATTACTTCTAATCTCTGATTCTTAGTTCTGTCTGTTGAAAACTATCCTACTATCAGCTACATTAATCACTGACTTTTTTTTTTTAAAGGTCACTCGGTGTTTGTTTGCAGGAGCCATTTGTCAGTTCTCAGTACTGTGGGTGTGTCTACATCTCAGTAGACTTATTTGAGTCCCTTTCCTTTCAGTGATTTCAAGGTTGTTTATTGTGAGCAGGGACAGAACAGCTTAGTGGGCTTTTTTTTTTTTGCTGGTGGTGGGGTGGTTTCTAGATATCCCTGCAATTCCACTAAACAATTCTTATTTTACGTCTTTCTCCAGACCAAATCGTCCCAAGTATCACCTATTCCCATCTTTTGTCATGGGTCATATTTTCTCAGATGTTTTGTGTGCAGTGAAAGAAACTGACAGTGACTGATCACTGTACATTTTAAAATCTCAACTAGATGAGGTTGTTGGAGTTTAGGAAACAGGCTCAGAGAGTTTAAGTGACTTGCCTGTGGTCACATATTTATAAGATATTTACTGGAATTCAACTCAGGTCTGAGTTCAAAACTCATGGTCTTTCTTAGTATATTGGACTTCTACTGGGGATGACAAGAGACACTTGTGGGTCTTGACATTTGTGTCTGTTTGGACTTAATTATGGTTTTCTGTGTTAAAAATGGTTACTGGAGACTCCTTCATACTATAGTAAATTAACTTACTTTAAATGGTTGGCTTTTCGTAGCTTGGAGTTATCTCCCAATAAAGAGGGTTCCAGAGAGAAAGCCAATATCAATGACCACTACTCTCTTCTTTCCTTCTTCCTCTTCAGTCCTTTAGGAGAAGGCCTTTGAAAATTACCACAAGGTCTTTTGTTTGGGAGTAGTAATTTGGCCTCTTTGATTTTAACATTTCATTAAAATCCCTCATTTAAGAAAAAGGCTCTGAAGATTCAGAAATGTCCCTGGACTTCACTTTCTTTCAAACTGAATTCTGTTCTCCAGAGATAGGCTCTACATACTCCTTTTCCAGGTAAAGAATAATTTGTCACTATTTTATTATGATGAATTTTTCATTTGAGAAAATAATCTAATAGTGTTATCTTGTTCATATAAGAAAGAACATCTTTTTAACATTTTGTCATTTTGGCTTCTAATCTTAAAAAAGAAATAAGACATAATTGCTTTTTAAAATACAAGTATTTACATGTTTGTTATATAGTAATTCAACAAATCAAGAACAAAACAAAAGTCACCCATAGACTCAGGACTCACATATATAACCTCTATTATATTGTTTACTATTCTTAACAGATTTCAGCCCATCTAATCTCAGCTTGGACAGTTTTAATCATTAATAAAGAAGTGTATCAAAGAAACAGTGCAGTATTTTGAAAGGGTTGGAAGACTTAACCATGAGTTTAAACGCTCCAAGTAATGCTACTGGTGATACCCAAAGGTAAGCCTCTTGTCTCTTCCTTTAGTTGAGCAATGCTCTTGGTTGCAGGGAGCAGGGAGAAGTGAGTTGGAGGGGCTGATCTTACGACTTCTCATGTGAAGGTAAGGGGAAGTAGAAATTTCATGGGACTGGAGGAATGATGCTTCATGGGAACTGGAACTGGATGTGGAGATTTTGTGCCTCTCTTGTGCTCCTTTGTTAACTCATCCATATAAGGCAAAGTATACTTTCTGCCGTCCGAAGAGATTGCTTGTTCTTTTGCACTTGTCTAACTCTTCTTGTAGTTCTGCTTATTCACATTGCTGTGTGGTTATTACTTGGCCTGCCATAATGTCTGTCTAATTCCTTTTCTTTTCTCATTGTCCCACCTCTAGTTCACAACTGTTCTTCTAGTCGTAGCTCCTATTGCTTGCTGACTGCTCCTTTACTTGGACTTTACATTCCAAGACGGCTGTTGCTCATCTTTTTTTTGACCATTGATATCTGCCTTTGGGTGATGATGTGGAATGATAAAAAGTCTGAGTTTATATATAAAACAGAGTCCTTTCAGAGAGGGTAACCCAAAATGTGGTTTATAAGAAATAAATACAGAAATGGAAAGTGTTTAGAAACTTTTATTAATCAGGTAACAGAGTATTTTCTGTTTGTTGAGTCTAATAATAAAACACTTGTGGTTGTATTTTACCTGTTTTTAAAATGTCCTTTTTAGTTACCTGTTTTAAATATATTTTACAAAAGCATCATCTGTGGGGGGAATAGTCCTTGCTCAGATTTAGTTTGAGAGGAACTGATCTAGACTGCCTTTTCAGCAAGGATGTGTGGGTGGGGCAGGGACCATGACTCATATGTACTTCACCTATAAATAGCATTTGCTATATCAACATTTTCTACCTATCTTTAGAAGCTACCTTAGATCCTTTCTGGAGCAAGGTAGGGAATAAGTTAATAAAATATAAACTTTTAACTTTGCTAAGATTTTTTTCTCAAGGAGGACTTTTTCATTTATCAAATGTTGGAACAGTTAAGAGTGAGGTCTCAGGTTGTTCTCCACCACCAGGGTGATGAATATGGTTCAAAAACTGCTGAATAGAGGATCTTCAAGGTCCCTTCATGCTCTGATAGCCTACTTTATATATGTATATTTTAATGCAAATAATGCCTGTGTTTTTACAAAATTAAAAATGAACAGAACAATAGAACTGCTTATAATTATACCACTTAGAGTTAACTACTGATAATACTTTGGTATATATTTGTCCAGATCTTTTCTTATGAACATATAAATACATATCTTAAAAATCAGAATTTTTCACTTTTGGGGGGAATATCTTACTGTATCTGTCATAAGTTTTAATGAAGTTAAATTCTTCAGAATTTTAGACTCTGGATAAGTGAAATTATTTAAGCTCTGCTCTTTACCACTAATCTACTTTCTGTTTCTATAGATTGCTTTTTCTGAGCAATTCATATAAGTGGAATAATACAGTATGTGTTCTTTTGTGTTTGGTGTATTTCATCAGGCATGTTCTTCAGGTGTATCCTGTTGTAACATGTACCAGTACTTTGTTTCTTTTTACTGCTGAATAGTATTCCATCGTAAGGATATACTACATGTCGGTTACCCACTCACCAGTTTGATGGAAATTTGTGTTGTTTCCACTTTTTGGCTATTATGGATCATGCTGCTATGAACATTTGTGTGCAAGTCTTTATATGGACATGATTTCATTTATCTTGGGTACATTCTTAGGAACAGCATACTTTCATCATATGGTAAATTTATGTGAATATTTTTAAGAAACTGAAAAATTGTATTCTAATGTGGCTAAATCACATTACATTTCCACCAGCAACATATGAAAGTATTTGTTTCTCCACACCCTCACCACCACTTACTATTTTCTGTCTTATTGATTGTAGGCATTTTAGTGAGTGTGAAGCTATATGTCATGGTGATTTTAATTTGTATTTTCCTAATGAGTGATAATGTTGAGCATCTTTTCATGTGCTCTTTTGGCCATTTGTATATCTCCCTTGGCAAAAAGCCTGTTCAGATCTTTTGCCCATTTTTAAATTGGGTTATTTTTCTCTTTATTACTGAGAGTTCTTTATACATTCTGGATACAAGTCATTTATCAGATATATAATATGTAAATATTTTCTCCCATTTGTTGGCTTGACTTTACATTTTCTTAATAGTGTTTTTGATGTACAAATGTTTTTTTTTTTATTTTGGTATCATTAATCTACAATTACACGAGGACCATTATGTTTACTACACTCCCCCCATCACCAAGTAACCCCCACATACCCCATTAGTCACTGTCCACCAGTGTAGTGAGATGCTGTAAAATCACTACTTGTCTTCTCTGTGTTGCACAGCCCTCCCCGTGCCTTCCCCACATTATACATGCTAATTGTAAGGCCCCCTTTCTTCTTCCCCCCAGTTCTCCCTCCCTTCCCACCCACCTTCCCCATTCCCTTTCCCTTTGGTAACTGTTAGTCCACTCTTGGGTACTGTGATTCTGCTGCTGTTTTGTTCCTTCAGTTTTTCCTTTGTTCTTATACTCCACAGATGAGTGAAATCATGTGGTACTTGTCTTTCTCCATCTGGCTTATTTCACTGAGCATAATACCCTCTAGCTCCATCCATGTTGTTGCAAATGGTAGGATTTGTTTTCTTATGGCTGAATAATATTCCATTGTGTATAGGTACCACATCTTCTTTATCTGTTCGTCTACTGATGGATACTTAGGTCGCTTCCATTTCTTGGCTATTGTAAATAGTGCTGTGATAAACATAGGGGTGCATCTGTCTTTCTCAAACTTGATTGCTGCGTTCTTAGGGTAAATTCCTAGGAGTGGAATTCCTGGGTCAAATGGTAGGTCTGTTTTGAGCATTTTGAGGAACCTCCATACTGCTTTCCACAATGGTTGAACTAATTTACATTCCCACCAGCAGTGTAGGAGGGTTCCCCTTTCTCCACAGCCTCGCCAACATTTGTTGTTGTTTGTCTTTTGGATNTTGGAGAACTGTCTGTTCAGCTCCTCTGCCCATTTTTTAATTGGATTGTTCACTTTTTGTTTGTTGAGGTGCATGAGCTCTTTATATATTTTGGATGTCAACCCTTTATCGGATCTGTCATTTATGAATATATTCTCCTATACTGTAGGATGCCTTTTTGTTCTATTGATGGTGTCCTTTGCTGTACAGAAGCTTTTCAGGTTGATATAGTCCCACTTGTTCATTTTTGCTTTTGTTTCTCTTGCCCGAGGGAATGTTCATGAAGAAGTCGCTCATGTTTATGTCCAAGAGATTTTTGCCTTTGTTTTTTTCTAAGAGTTTTATGATTTCATGCCTTACATTCAGGTCTTTGATCCATTTTGTATTTATTTTTGTGTATGGGGTTTGACAGTGATCCAGTTTCATTCTCTTACATGTAGCTGTCCAGTTTTGCCAACACCAACTGTTGAAGAGACTGTCATTTCCCCATTGTATGTCCATGGCTCCTTTATCATATATTAATTGACCGTATATGTTTGAGTTAATGTCAGGAGACTCTATTCTGTTCCACTGGTCTGTGGCTCTGTTCTTCTGCCAGTACCAAACTGTCTTGATTGCTATGGCTTTGTAGTAGAGCTTGAAGGTGGGGAGCGAAATCCCCCCCACTTAATTCTTCCTTCTCAGGATTGCTTTGGCTATTCAGGGTCTTTGGTGGTTCCATATGAATTTCAGAACTATTTGTTCCAGGTCGTTGAAGAATGCTGTTGGTAATTTGATAGGGATTGCATTAAATCTGTATATTGCTTTGGGCAGGATGGTCATTTTGACAATATTAATTCTTCCTAGCCAAGAGCATGGGATGAGCTTCCATTTGTTAGTGTCCTCTTTAATTTTTCTTAAGAATGTCTTGTAGTTTTTGGGATATAGGTCTTTCACTTCCTTGGTTAGGTTTATTCCTAGGTATTTTATCCTTTTTGATGCAGTTGTGAATGGAATTGTTTTCCTGGTTTGTCTTTCTATTAGTTCATTGTTAGTGTATAGGAAAGCCTCACATTTCTGTGTATTAATTTTGTATCCTGCAACCTTGCTATATTCTGATATTAGTTCTAGTAGTTTTGGAGTGGTATCTTTAGGGTTTTTTATGTACAATATCATGTCGTCTGCAAATAGTGACAGTTTGATGAAGTACAAATGTTTTAAATTTTTATGAAGTCCAATTCTTTTCCTCTATGGTTGTGCTTTTCATTTCATATCTAAGAAATCTTTGCCTAACTTAAGGTCATGACTTTTCTCCTATGTTTTCTTCTATAAATTTTATAATTTTATAAAATATAATTTTCTTATATTTAGGTCTGTGTTCCATTTTGAGTTACTTTTTAGTTTATGTTTTGTGGTAAGGTTCTAAATTAGTCTTTTTTGCATGTGGATATCCAGTTGTTTCAATACCATTTTTTGATAAGGCTATTCTTTCCACATTGAATTGCCTTGACACCTTTGTTGAAAATTGATTGACCACATATGTATGAATTTATTTCTTAGAGTCTTAATTCTGGTACACGGATGTACTTGTCTATTCTTGATTCAATTCCAAAGATTTGATTATTGTAGCTTTATAGTAAGTTTTGAAATTAGGAAAGAAAAGTCTTCACATTTACTATTCTTCAAGACTGTTTTGGTGATTCTGAATCCTTTGCTCATCCTTATAAATTTTAGAATCAGCTTATCAATTTCTGCAAAATACACCTGGGATTTTGGTAGAGATTATGTTGAATATATAGATCAATTTAGGGAGAATTGCCATCTTTATAATTTTGTATCTTCTAATACCTGATGTCAATGTAGACTGTCTTTACATTTATTTAGGTCTTCAATTTCTTTCAACAATTTTTATTATCCAGTGTAGAAGTTTTACTTCTTTTGTTAAACTTAATCCTAAATCTATTTTATTTATTTTTTAATGCTGTTGTAAGTGGAATTATTTTCTTAATTTTGTTTT